CTGTCTGATTGTGTTGATGTGTCCTGGACTGTCTGATTGTGTTAGATGTTAATCATACCTGATTGCGATTATTGTAGACTGAAGAGTTTGAAGCGCATCCTTGCTAGAGCGCCTATTCAATCAATCTGCACCCCGAGATAAACCCTCAGGACAGGACGCCCATAGAAGACAGCTGAGTGGACGACGAACTTTTCACCCTTCTTAGGAAGGGGAGGGAGTGTCCACTTGTTTCTAAGCACTTGGGCTGGTTGGTAATGCTGTCAGGAAGTCCAATCACAGAAAACGAAACTAAAAGACTTGTGCCAAAGGGACGGATTGCCTGCAGCTCAGCTGACTGCTGGGCAGTGCTGAGGGGTGCCGTTCCCTGCGTCATCAGCTCTCTCAGCACGCAGGGCCTGAGCCTGACCGGCCTGTCCTTTCACACTCTCTAGAGCTTCCACTGCACACACCTGCCCCATCCCCACACCCTGGAGGCCCACCTCTGTCCCCTGCCCTGCGGCTGAAAACACTGACCTGAGGCTGATCTCTGAGAAGCTAAAAGACAATCACACAATTAAATATCCATACTGAAGTTACATACATCACAACACCCCACGTCATGAAACAATTCCAGCCTACTATTTTACATCCAGGACAGCAACATTAGTAGGTGTTCAATTCCCACAAAAAAACAACAACAAATATTTTAAGTGACTCGATCATGTTATATTAAATCAGGTAGGCCATGGCTGACTCAGTGAATGAGCACGTTTTAGGAGTGTAGATATCATCACCTAGTGGCCTTAAAGTGCAATAACAGACAAGCAAAAAAGGGGCACCAAAGCAAGTATATTGACTGTGAGTGACAGAATGAAGAATTCCTTAAATTTATATAGCACTTTTAATTCAGGAACTCCACGCTGAAGTGTGAGATGGGAGAAGCTGCTGTCCCAGGTGAACGAGGGGGAGCTCTAGGGCGGGCGGACACTGTAAGCCCAGGACTCAGCCACAGACAAGCTCCTCCTCCGCACCCTTCATGAGCCAACAGGCGCTGCTCCACGTCTAAACTCATTTACAATAACTCGCGGAATTGTTCTCGCTGTCTGCCGCTCTCGGCAGGCTCCGATTCCAGAGCCTGGAGAAGAGTCGCCCGGAATTCCGGGCTCCGGCGGCCTGCTCGGATCTGTGCCGCTCTTTCTACATCGCGATCGTGGAAATCGGTGTCTGTCGCACCGTGCCCCTAGCAGGGCTGGATGAGGCTCATTCAGGAGCAGTGAGCGCCTGCGGGATTCCGCAGGGTTCGGAAGTGAACCGGGATCGCCCCCTCTTCAGGGGGACCCCCGCTCAGACAGCGGTGGGCAAGGCCGGCGGATACAGAGAAGCCAGGCCAGAGGCGGGGTGGGAGGTCTCAGTCTGGGGGGCTCTGTTAGTCCAGCAGTGTGAACGAGTCACTGACAGACACCGGCATTCAGACACAGACCTCACGACACACAGCCATTGATCAGAATCCCAGAATACTTTATTCATCCCATTTTTTCCTAGCCTCCATTTCATCATCATCATCACCATCATCATCATCACATATCAAAGAAACATTCTTTCGTGGAACACAGCTCCCTTTTTGTATGTATAATATAATTTTCGATATTTCCGTAATCACATTATAGATCTCATTTTTCTTTCACTGTGTTTTTCAGAACAGGAGGTGCCTTTGTGTCGAGAGGGCTTGAATGACATAATTCCAGCGGGGACTGTCGGAGGACGAGACAGCGGAGGAGAGAGTCTTCTTCCCTGGCAGCTCCTTGTCCAGCTGCAGCACTGTCCCCAGGCCCAGCGGGGTCGGCCGGGACGTGATGACCACAGCCTGGGCCCCCCTCCCTGCTGGGCCCCTCTCCTGCAGGAGCCTGGGCTTGACAAGTGGGATTTCCTGCCCTTGCCCTGATAAGGAAACGAATTCATCGACCCACTGAAGTCAGGGCTCAGCTGCAGACACGGGCCGGATGCCGCCGTGTCTTTCTGGCCCGGGGCTCCTGAGAGAAACGTGCTTCGCTTGCAGCTTGCTTCAGGTGATCAGAACGCCACATTCCAGCACAACTCCATAACACATAACTCCTGCACGTACACCGGCCCTCGCTGTGGGCTCTCTCAGCGCCGCCCCTCCAGCTGGGCAGCGTGAGGAGCTCGGACAGAGGCAGGGAGCTGGAGACGAGCACTGCGGTGCAGATCCTCTCCGGTACTCTTGAACTCTTGTATTCTTGAACTCTTTAACAGGTTCGCAGAAAGAGCACGGTGGCGTGAGCAATGGCCACAGGCCGAACAGGTGCCGACGAACACAGCTGGCAGACGAGGGCGACCAGCCCGGCAGGACCGACTGCAGCCCACCTAGGCACCTGTCTGGCCACCATCCTCCCCCTCGGCGCCTGTGCCTGCGCCTCCTTCATCACCGCCACCACTGACATCCATTGTCCGGAAATCACAATCGCCCTCTCTCCGACCACAAGCCCTGACAGCCCCCTGGCGGCCCGGCGGCACAGGAGGAGAGAGGCAGGAACCCGCTCCTCAGGGCTTTCTGCGCGTCTCAGCACGTCTGGGTGAGCTGGCTGAACTGAGCACACCAGGACGGAGGGAGGCAGCGGGAACTGTGAGCAAGCTCACGAGGGGGCTGTTCTGATGCATCACCCTGAAGGCTCTCTGTGCAGGGCCTCCACTGTGACTCAGCACCCTCAACAGGACTGGGCAGTTCGTTCCGCCCACCCACACCCCTCTGTTGCGAAGCAGCAATGACTCTCCACTGCAGCACACAGGGCTTGGCTTGAGCTTGCTCTCACACTGCTGGACTGCCAGGCCACAGCACAGCAATGCCCGCCAGCAGGGCAGACTGACGGACGACATGCTGGCAGAGCTACAGAGCCAGCTCAGTGTCATCCTGAACACGGCCAGCTCCCTGTGTGTGTCTCATACCTGGGCACCGCACGCTGTCCAGATGGCCAAGCTACTGCCCTGACCACCACCGTCAAGCCGATTTGACTACATTTCTGTCGATTTCTCACAACTGTATCTTGATTCTAACATGCATTTAACTCTACTCTGCCATGAGTCTCAGGTTTTCCTAATGATTTCCACACACCTCTGTTTTGACCAGGCCTTTAGCACGCTTCCACTCTGTTTTACAACACTTTTACTCCGCTTTCTTTACGGAATACCACAGCTTTTCCGAGGGCCAGCGAGCTCCAGAGCACGTCGGATAGTTCAGTCGAGGATGCCCCGCGGGGGGAAGAGCTCTTGACCCTGGCCTGGGAGGCGGGGCGCCACTACAGACACCGCCGTGCCAACGGGGCCATCGGTCACAGACACACCCGCACCACACCTTGACCCCTGACCCCTAGACACACAGCCCCGCCACGCCGAGACACACACCCTGCGGGGAGCACGCTCCAGTCCCGGTGTCCGGTTAACAGTCTCCCATTGACACCGAGGTGCTGCGAGGAAGAGCGGGGGGGCGGAGAGGTCCGAAGACGCGCCCGCCGAAGAGCACGCACACACGCGAGGCTCAGGAGTGCAGCGCGCCGGCGTTGCGCTGTCTAGGGTGCGATCCGGCCGCAGAAGGTGACTGAGTGAGTCTGAAGGTACAGGCGCCACAAGCGAAGGGACCGGCAGGGGAGAGCATGTCTGTCAGTCCGTCGTCCAGTGACAGGCTCCTACAAGCAGCAGTGCAGCGCCGATCGTCAGGTACATAGAGGTGACGGGGCAGGGTGACCCCGATACTTTCTCCCCCTCCTGCACAGAAATCTCTACAGGTCTCTGCCCACAGTCTCTGCCATTGCTTTCGGGGGACAGCATAGAACGGGGTACTCCCTCCACAGTTATCCCATCTCCACCCCAGACACTTGAGAAGAGGTCATCGAGTTCGAATAGGAAAAAAGTGATGGCGGTAGGCATCTCTGTGCATGCTGAGGTTTGAGGTTAACTCATGGACATAGCTTGCAATCCTAATTTTAACTTCTGTTTTTTATGCGTTCACTTCTTTCTCTTCACTGTCTCTCTGCACCTCCGTGCTCCACATTCGGAACGTTCTGAGAAGCTGCTGGTCTCCGATTGGCCCCCTTCCGTTCTGCCCATGGGGGTCAGTCAGAGGTCAAGGGGAGGGATCTGGAGGAGGGTGGGGCATCGTCTCCAGGTTACCTGGAGGAGGGGCTACTGCACTCAGAGGCGGGGCAACAAAACTGGTGGGCGATGTCATCGTCCTCGTCTTCTCTGAGAGAGGGGGAAGGAGGAGGGACAGAGAGAGAGACAGTCAGAGAGGGGGAGGGGAGATAGAGGAGGAGGGGGCAGAAGAGGAAAGAGGGGGAAAGAGGGAAAACGGGATGGAGACAGGGAGACGTCAGAGCAAGAACAATCACAGGGAGCAAAAGGGAAGGGAGGTTTAGGGAGAAGGAAAAAAGATTGAAGAAAGGAGAATTTTTTT